TGTAATTCACCCCTGAGGATGATGTTGTAATGTCGAAACATGTAGAGTCATCAACTTTTTGATGACCATAGATAGGCCTATATAAAATGTTTTTAATTGTGTTCCAGTTTAACGTTGAATATTATTTATGATTTTAACTTTATAAACAATTGCCAAAATATTATAACTACTAAAGACTGTCAGCTGATTCAACTAAACCTACGTCTATAGCCTTAAATATGCACTCTTGTAAACCTAGAGCTCACATTCTTCACACTCACCCAAGGCAACCTTGACCCTAACTCTATACATTTCTTATGTTGTATCAGATATAAAAGACTGTTTTGTGTAGGTAGTATTATTAATTTATTTATTTTGTATTCATAATTTATTGATGTCGAGGCTATCGAACATTGTGTGCAATCCATTGATGTCAAGGCTACAGAGATTTCTAGAAGGCCTAAGTGACAGATGTATAAGTAGCTGCAACCAGATGAGCGGAAACAGAGAGAAAGAGTAAAAGTAAAGTCACATGAAAGAGAAGTTCGGTCAGAGAAAAGTTAGAAAACGTAAAGTTAACTGTTGTGGGAGTGAATGGCCTAATGGTTGATATATTAGAGTGAGATTAACAGTTGAAAGAGATAATGAGAATAATTTGTCTTGTCAAAGGGTGTTCTAAACTAATTGAACCCACCTATGTGGACATTGACGAAAGGCAGATGATTATTGGAAGTTCAGGATACAACTGCAGTACTCAAGCAATAGCATAAGTGAATTATAAATGGATACTATTGGAATAAAAATAGAGAGAAATAGTTCGTCTTGTCAACTGAATTCTAAAGCAATTGAACTGGCCTATGTAGACAAAAAGAAGAGAACTTTGTAGTGTTTAAGATACAACTATGATCTTCATGGTGTAAAGAAATTTGTACATACGTTTATGTTGTTTCGAATATATATATATCATATTTTAAAAACAAATGGAATGTGTGATGTTCGTTTATTGTCAAATTTATTGCCAACAAGTCGCAGACACCTACTGTAGAAGAATCCTTAGCCTAACACACCCATATATTTACATTACTATATATACTACAAAAAGTAGTTTCTCGCATGTTGCTTTCTGCTCCTAATTTACAATTTTTTCCCCTTTAATGGCACTATCTTCCCCAATGCTATATCTAATTATTCTCATGTAAGTAAGCTTTGCAACTGTAATGTACTGTATCTTTTTAAGCTTGTTGAAATTGCCATCAAGCTCACAATTCTCAAACAAAGTCCAATACTGGTAGCTATTGTATCTTATTATTACTCTTCATTCATTGTTACCAATCTACTCATCCAATAATTACATGTTTAACTAATATTAAAGCTATTTCAAGAGTTTATAGATTAAACTGCAGATAAAACTAACACTAAAATATCCTGTTTAAAGTAATGAGCACAACAATTCTGTAATTACTCATTAACTCTTTCGGCACGAGCTCGGTCCCATGGACCAACCTCGTAACTATTTTGTGCTTGTTATAGTTTTCATGCTATAACTTTTAAATTAGTAAGCATATCTTCACGAAATTTTGCAGATTATCAACAAACATTACAAGGCTTTCATACACAAAATATAATTTTTGTTTCATTATTAAATTTTATAATTTGTTAAGTAATATTTTTCTCATGCTTTTTTTCTTCTCAAATGTTGACTATCCAGCATGCAAAGTAATTTTGATTTTAAGATTAAAAATGCTTTTATGCTTCGGAAAATTTTCAAATTTTCACATGCGCAATCTTTATAACCTCCAAATAATTATCAAACATGTTTTAAGAAAAAACTTTATATTTTATCTGTTATTTTCACTAGTGAATTTCTGTACGGGTTCAGTCAATTTGACCAACCTCGTAACCACCATAAAAAGTTAGGAAATAAATATAAATTATGTTTTTTTTCATTCTAGAATGACTACAAATTATAATATGAAAACAAAAATGTTTAGTCTAAATAGCTTAAATCTCATAACATTGTACATTTATATGTATTTATTATTTATATTATATTGACCTTTCAGCTGTGCCTGGCTAACATTACAGAAGTTGCAATAATGTGCTGCACGTGCACTTATGTTACCATATCCAAGAATATAGAACTGCCCTTTACAAAGTGACCTGTCTTGGCTGTGTTTTAGTGGACTAGTATTTTGTAAAATACAGTCACATTTCAGTTATACTACATTATATATGTATATACATTATTACTATTTACAAATAAGTTCTTCAACTTATTTTTCTTAAAATACAGAACCTTACTGCTTGAAATATAGCATGAAAAGAAAGAGTTTGCCACCCGTGTACTTCACAAAAGCCGAAAAAACGACTAGTGGGACATTCTGAGCTTTAGATTGGTTTTACACACATCATAGACAAAAGTACGTGTATATAAGTAAGTTTTCCAATAATGGAAAGAGGTGGGTGGGGCCACTGTGTTTGATTCAGTAAATGTAGCAATATCTCAACAAATAAAAAAGATAGGTTTCTATTTTGGTAATTTGAGCTTCTAATTCGTAAGAAACTATAGATTTTGTATTTGGACATCACAAACATCTAATTTGAACCAATGCTGCATTCAACATACAAAGTGACTCACAAACACAGATATTTAGGTGTGTTTTCAATACTTATTTTTAAATTAAGAAATTAACTAATGTATAATACTAACATTTGAAATATAATCTACAATTTGATACCAAACTTAATGACATATATTCATAAAGTAGTAGTTTAATAAAATTTTGAATGCGAGGCAACAAACACGATGACATGGCCTTTGACCCGTGTTGATAGGGTTAACTGGTACTGATACTAATGATTAATAGTGCAGAAGCTACCAAATAGTAATTAAACAATAAATACCTAAATAAATTATCCGTATGTGTAATCAAATTAAAAGGCATCTTTAAGGTGTTAGCACAGTTCACCAAATAGTCCAAATCTCTTTGAAAATCTACAGCATCTTTAGTAAAGTTTGAAATGGCCATGAATGCAATATCATCTGGAAATATAACCACTTTACTGGTTATTCCATTATCATTGTTGTTAACGAAAAGGAGAAATATCAAATGACCTAGTACAGAATCCTGAGATAAACCACATTTTTAAAATTAGTTCAAATACATTCCTATACTACTATTGTGTTTACAGTGTTTTCACACAGTTTATATATTGAAGATTTGAGTAATTGATATGAGTACTGTGTTCTGTAATTGAATAGATGTTGCATGAGATTTTTTTGAATTATTCAATACACAAATTTAGTACTGACAGCTTGAAATATTGTGTTGTCAAAGTAAATATATATATCTTTGAGATATAGTAGATGATATGCTTTACTTATAGTTTAGGTATATCAAATATTGTTAATTCTTTTACTTTTGCACTTGTGTATCATGTAAGTAGCTGCTTTGTTATCATGTAGATTATCATAATATATTGATAAACTTTCGACTTGTGTTTATTCTTGGTCACATCTAAATGCAGGTTTGCTTTTACAGGAATCCTACTGAAACAGCTATTAAAAGGCGACGCATATTTTTGACAAATCAAAAACGATATCCAGTAAATCAAGATCACTATTCTTCAGTTGGTTTGTTTCCATCTATACATTTTCAAAAAAATCCTCTGGCTTTATTGGACAGTAGAAAATCCCCAATGGCTCATCGTCCTGTAACGGTAAAGATTGCTCCTCCTGATGTTCTGAAGAATTCTAGCTCTAGGTATTTAGTTATTTAGTTTGAGAAGATTTTAAGTAGGCTTAAAAATTCAGATAACATTATGAAGAAATTATTTAGCTAAATTATGGTACTTTGGGCTTCTGAAAAATATCACCACATGATATTCATAATATAATACTTGAATGTACTCCTTCTAACTTTTTTTGGTGTTCATAGTTTCACTGATATGAAAAAAAAAATTATGCTAATCAACACATTTATTATTAACTGTTGAGTTAAAAACATTCTGGATTATCTACAGAAGCATTTAATTAATCCCCTTAAAGTGTTTTAAGAGAGTAGATTCATATTAAGCATAAATCATGGTTATGTGACATAATTAACTAAGAAATATGGCTCATCTGTCACAAAAGTTATTGTCATTTACATTCTGTTTTAAATGATGTAGATTAAAGTATGTTGACTAGGCCTTAAATTGTAATGTCAGTGACTAATGTATAATTTAAGGATGTGATTCACCCACCTCTAGTAATAATCTATAGCTAATGATTTGATTGATTTTAATGGTGTTGATTATATTATATAGACTAGGTCATAAATTTTAATTCAGTGACTAACATACAACCTAAGGTAGCACTGACCCTTAAAAAGCATCCCCACTATTTCAAAAATCACATTTTTAGAATTTAGCTTAAATCGAAAGATTAGCCTCATTTCTACATAGATAACTTATTTTTGTCTTAAAAGCTTCAATAATTAACCTTTAGTAAGTGACTAAAAGTAAGTCTAGTTTGTTTTCATTCTGCTTCCACTTCAGCATTAAAGCCAATACCAGCATGAAATTTAACACACTTGTTGATATTAAACTCTTCAATAGTTTGAATTTTTTTTTAATTCAAAAATCTTTACTGTCTTTTTATGAGTCTAATTACCACTAACAAAGGTATTAATTAAAATTAATTACCCCTAGCTTGTTAACATGGAATAAAATTTGCAAAGTTTATATCTTAAGGGTGTGATTCACCCACCTCTAGTGATAATCTCTGGCTAATGAATTGATTTATTTAGAAACAAAAGGTGGATAAAGTTGTCAGTAACTCAGTTCTTTATGAGAAATTCCTGTACTGTGACAAATGAACTTCACCTCCAAGTCAAACCACATAAGGGCACTTTCATAATTTGTCAGTCATAAAATCACTTTCTTGTAGTAGTAATATGCCATGAATAATCTTACAAATAAAATTTCATCTGAAAGTTTGCCAATGCCATTGGCTAAGTTTACAAATTAAATTTCCAAAATGTACGTACCTCTTCTCACACTACAGCTATTACTCGACTGCTAGGGTTTCCTTCCTTTGTCCATCTAACATTGGTCTGATTTTTTCTTGCTTGCTCCAGTCTTTTATTCCCCACTTAATTACCCTTGACGATATCTGTGTCATGACACTCTTCACCTATGTCACTATGCCCTCTATCCTGGTACTGTATATAAGTACATCATTTAGATAATATTATCACTTTTTCTCGATAAAGCACTCACTAATGGGTTTCTCTTTGTTACAACTGTTAAAGATACTTTGAGCATTCGAGTGATGGTTAGATGGGAACAATACTACAATAGGTGTACCTCTGTCACCACCTCACCCAAAGATTCCTCTCTTCACTGATGCCTCGCTTCAGGGATGGGGTTGCATATCTCAGTCGTCAGGAATTCCAGGGCCTATAGATGGACGACGAGGCTTCCCTACACATTGTTTTAGAATTTTTTGCTGTTTAAAGGGCAATGTCTCAAGATCTGGACTTATTAAGAGGAAGAATCATCATGCTTCACTTTGACAATTCCACGGTGATGTATTACATTTCCCATCAATGGGGCACTCAGTATGGGTCTCTTTGTTTTCAAATTTTCTTTATTGGACCCACTCCAACTATATTATCCTACCAACTTACCATGTTCTGGGGGTGATAAATTTTGTGGCAGATTAATTGTCTCAATCTAACCAGATCTCCTGATAGAATGTATGCTACATCCTGAGGTTTTCCATTATGTTTGCTCTTGGTTTGGGACACTGATGATTGATGCATTTACCACTACAATACTTTTATCTCACATTATTTGCATGATCTGGCAGTGCCTTCCTCTAAGGATTTTTGACTACCCCCTGTAGCTATCTTAACCACATTCACTAGATTATAAGGAGGTGTGAGTATCTTCATTACTAGTATTGTCTCTTCTTTACTTTCCAGGGTCCCTCACCTCTTTTTTACAGGATCCCACTCTGTGATGAGTGTTGCCCCGGGAGATGTGTTTTTATCAACCATTAACACAATGTACTCCATCTATGTTACAACAGGCTTTGTAGAAATGAGACCTTAAGACCACCTAGAGATAGACTGGGTGGTGTTACTGTACTATACTGGACCGCCACTCATGGACTATCATGAGTAAAGTATAAGGGGATCCTGCCTGTCCCTGCTGATCGTTGGATTGAATAAATCAGGGTTGGTTTGCTTTTAAAAATTTAGAGAACTTGGTTCATCTATTGCACTATTTCCAGAGCATTGTTCTTCAGGGCTCCACAACTCGCATTACCACCACCTCCCTTCCACCCCATATTCTACTAATGGAGCTAGGAAGTCCTTACCACACCCAGTTTCTAGTCACTGGAGTGGTGGACAGAGATTATTCCTCCAGAGTGTATGAGAGACTTTATTCTTGGAGAAAAGGGCAAATTTGTGGGCTTTCCTACCCATGGCCCTGGATGTTTTTTTTTCCAGATGTCAGTAGGTGCGACACTAGCCTACGCTGGAGCCTACTTGTAATACTGGATCAGATTTGATGCTCGGCTATCCGATTGGGTTGAGGGTGGCCCTTCTTTTTAATCAATCTTGGTTCAGTACATTATTCCTGGAAGAGGGACCATTGTCTCCTCGTAATTCCGAATTCAGAGTGGTCCCATCCTTGTTCCTTGATTGAGCGTAGTTTGTTCCACATCCTCCCCATAATTCCGAGGAGAAGTGGAGATTACCTTGCCCACACAAATATTCTATAGAAGATATGTTGACAATACTTTTGTGGTTTTTAAGAATAAATTAGATATTCAGGAATTTCAAGATTACTTGAATAGATGGGGATCTGGTCATTTTTCTGGGTCTCCCCAATGCAAATTCACCCCCCTCCATTTTTGTGTTTAGCACAGGACTCTTGTCACTTAATAGTTCATAATCACTGCTGTGGTGGACTATGGAGAATCCTTGCCAGTTGGACATAGAACAATATGGTGAGAAGTGGGATAGTGGTGACCCTCAGTGTAGTGTGGGTCATCTCTCAAAACTGTAACTCATACCACTTGTGCCATTCTCCTGCAGCCAGAGCCTGTTCAGTTCAGTTGAGGTGAGCAAAACATGTTTCAAAACTAATGTGCCCTTCTCTTGCAACCAGCCTGTTAAATAGACCTGAAGTGAGCACTCACAATAAGTACCATAGTGCATAACTAAAGTGCCCTCTCCCTGCAGCTAGCATCTGCTCAGTAGAGTTAAGATAAGCACACAAGGTATGGTCTGAATGCCCCCCCCCCCCAAACCAGACTACACAAATGGCTCACAAACCACTTGCTCAGATGGTCAAATTTTCCTGATGCCCATCCCTGTGATGCATGGGACTCTTTTGCCTCTTCCCTCTTATGTTCTGGGCAAAGAGTATACCTTGGTTGAGATGAGTTGCAGTGTCACTCTCCATGGACTTCCCTTTAGGTGCTTTCTGAAGGGTGCTCATATAAGTATAATTTTGCACAAATTCAATGTTGGATTCTAGCTTTTCTGTGTGAGAGGTGAGTTACCATCTCAGAATTTAACATTTTCCTAATCTGAAAATGTAATTCTGATAGATATCTTCTCACACATTCCCACCCGACCTTCCTACTTTTGCACATTTGTTTGTCTTGCCTCATCAAAGAATGAAGATGTCATGAATGCAAGTGTATAGGGGAAATTTCTGCACATGGAGGTTGTGTAATCCTTCTATTGGTGGAGGATGTCATCATGCACCAACACAGTTCACATTAAAACATGAAATTAGGTGGGAATTATCTCAAGGCTAGTGGCATACAAATCTCATAGGCAGATGCATGAGAAAGATAGCTTTTGTTTGTATGGAGGCATTTCAGCTAAGGAAAATCTTAGTTTTGAGTTAAAGATCTGTGGCTGAAATGGTAAGTAAGCAACAAAAATTACAACTATATGTGGTGTGTGTAATGTTCTGCTGTTTTGGGACAAGTCATTTCCAGTATCCTGTACCTTCCTACTAGTCCATCAAGTGATGCACCAAGAAACTCAAAGCTAAGATTAAAATGCTATATCATTGAATTTGTACTCCTTTTTTTTCATAGTCTTTCATAGCAAAGTATTCATGGTTCTTTTAATATTGAGTGACCTCTGTGATGAAAGCAGGGGAATAAAGCAACCGACACTGTGTTTTACAGGAAATTATTTCTCTCGTTTTACAAATGCATCCAAATTCTGATGATATAACTTTAGCTTCTTTCCAAAATCTGTAACTCATTTCCAATCTAATCACGTGTATTTTGTTCTAACAAATTTTTTCTCTCTTCTGTTAGTTGCAGTTGTATGAAAAATTCCTGACTAGCCTTCTCAAACTCATCATCATTTAAATCTGGTTGTAAGGAGTGCTCACCAAAATGCTTGTCTCTTCCAGATTTTGACCTTCCATTTTTCTCAGATGCATTCTTTCTTTATATGGGTAATCAGTTTCTGCATGCATTAAGTTTTTTCATCATTGTTAACATGTCACTTGACAATAGCAGAAGAAATTTTTAATGTTGTATTTTTTTCCCACACTCTCTAGTGTGCCACTCTGGTTCATTCTGTCTTCACTACCTTCCTGTTATAACTACACTTCTTTGCTGTTGTTTTAGACATGCTTATGTCTCCTTCTGCTTTTATATTTCTGTATTGTAGGCCATGCATATCTTCAAAGTTCCCAAGTCCTTCCACAATAATGTCAGACTCCACTTGTTTGGAAAGTCCGTTCTAGTTTTTCCAGCAGTGATGCTCTTTTGTGATGGCTGTTGATGTATTGCATAATTGTTACAAAACTTGTTTCTTACACCCATATATATGTATATATTGTTTGTTTGGAACCGGTTGTAATGCTTTATCTGTGTGTACATTGATACATTTTTTTTTCATATCCACAGAAAAACATGATGTTTATCACACTTGCATTTTTTGTTTTTGGTCACAAGCTAACCAAATACTAAAGTATATTTTTGCTGTCTGAAACAAAACATAGTAGCAGTGAAACAGTAAATAGCTCTATATCATAATAAGTTTCAGATGGAAAACTTTGAGAAAAATGTTATGTATTATTTTTATGTCAGTTTGACAAATATGGTGTTTCTAGAAAAAGGAAGCTTCACAGTATTGATTTGGTTGTGTTATATTTATTAAAAACATGTCCCTGCCAGATAAAGTAAACACATTTAACCTATAACAAAATAATCATGTAATCATGCACTATCTGCCATTTAGTGACAGTTTGTAAAGTTACATTCAGAAATGTTACTTACCTCTCTGCACCACTAAGAGCTATTACCTTGCATGCAACTGCTGTGGAATTTCCTATATATACCTCAGGCCTTGAACAAACTCTCACCCCTACATGTGTCTTTGTGTATTGCATCAGCCTATGATGTAATTATAATGATGCTGTAGCCCTCTACCAAAGGAGAATGACACAATCTCCATGCATAATAATCCCCTTGAGCACCATCACATAATCATTTTACTAATCGTATAATAAAAACTGTTTAAAACAGACTCAGGCTGACAAAAAATATGATGAATGTTTATAAAACCATCATGTTAACTTCCATAAATAAATGATTCCAATTCACTTTAACTTGGATAAGTTTTGCTTTTTTTTGACATAAAGTATGATTATATGCTTTTGACAATCAAAATGGATACATGTATACAAACATGTTACTAACACCAGAGTTTCTTCAATTTTTGTAATCTTTGTTAACAAGATCAATATTATAAGTAATCATTCTTCTACATTAATGAAGTTATCAATCAGTTGATAACTTCTCTGTGTTGGTAAATTATTTATAACTTCCTAACACAAGTAGTTTTAGGTTATACTGTTTATGGTAAGTTTCAGTTTCAATTATTTGGTTATGAAATAGGCATTATTGTCTGGGGAAATGTTCAAAAAGGCTGACATGTTTTTAATGGCCCATCTATTCTTCAGGGGTTTTATCAGGGATTTTAAATTTGTTTCTTTCATTTATATGTTGTTTTTTTATTATTATGTTAATTGTGAATTAAACTTGTGTGAAAAATTGTGGTGTAACTAACAATTTTAATGTCATATTTGATGTTTTGATTGAAATTAGCTCTTAAGTTTTACTATCATTGTTCTCAATCTTAGGAGAGGCAGCTCTTAAAAACTGCAAGGTATTTTAAAGAAATACTGGATGGCTAATAAAAGTAGGATAAATATTAATGTTGCTTGGGACATTTTTTGTCAGTTTTATCAAAAATGGTGAAAAGAATGCCCAGAAATGTTTGCACTTGTCATTGCGGAGGTGGGTTTTCCTGACATAGTCATTGTACCAAGGGAAAGGTCATTTGCTAGAATGCTCAATCTAAATGGCTGTGTAAATTTTATTATAACATATGTAATGTGCTGTTCCAGATAATAGAAAACAAAAAAAAAGATACTAATATGATGGGGGAAACAGATGTTACAGTGAAAAACAAATGGAATTGAGAAATTTTTGGATTGATTAGTATAGTGGTAGAAGAGAGAGCCAAAGGCTACGAGTTGTTAATGGGTAATGAATTTTAAGTGCAATTTTCTCTATTGCAAATACACTGTAAATATGTACATGTAAAAACCAATACTTGTGTATAGTTTTGGAACATTATGAAATTATAATTTCTTAAACCCTCCCAAAAAAGTATGGCACATATTGCATATGGAAAGGGGTCTCCACCATGGTAGAAGGCAACATAAGTGAAATTCAGATATTCACACATTTGAAAGTATTTTAATAAGCATTAAATTGCCTTTAATTAAATCCACATTAGACCTCAAAATATTCTTAGATTGCAATAGAGAGAACCTAGAAATTCAAAATTTTGTGGGGGCCACCTCTGGCTTCTTATTGTTATGGACTGTGATGCACAGGTTCAGAGGTTTTGAAGGACCCTGACTCATGTCTAGGAATATATACTTTTCATGGCTTTTGTTGCTGTCAGAGGCCTTTTCATAAGTACTTGAACATGGGAATTATTAATCAATGAAAAATACTAGCTTACAAAGATTAATATTAACTTCTGATCAGAGCAAAACTAAAAATCAATCAGGGGAGGGGGGGTATGAACAGTCCTTATATGTTTTTACTTAGAAAGATTACATAGACTTGTAAGATACATATATCTGTAATTAACATTCAAAAGCACATCAAAAGTTCAATGAATAATGTATTTAAAATCTTGTTCTAGTTCATTGTAGCTTTACTTCCTGATAATGCTGGTAGACAAGCTTAATTTATAAGCAATAAAACAAAAGGTTAAGAAAACTCCTTTCATTTATTCTTTTTGTTAGCTTTTATATTACAAATTTACACTGAGTATGGTTTTGTTTCAATTTGATTTAATTGCAGATGGAACTATTTTTATGGTGAATTATCAAAGAAGTCTCCTCCTAGCCCATCTCATTCTAAAATCATTATTGCTGCTTTGCGAGAAAGCAGGTATGATAATAAAACTGTGGAGTTTGTATGTGTATCATGTTCATATTTTAAGTTCATAGATTGTTATGTTTTATTACTGTATATGTATGCCATATTACATGTATTTCACATCCGCAGCTTGATTTTATTCTTTTGAGAAATACAACTTACCCTAGTTTTAATTAATAATCCTCAAAAGAGTGATTTTCCTTTAACCAAAAATTAGTTAGATGTAGGTGTGGTGTATATTATCAAGTTGTCTAGTGATATTTTAAATTGCAAAATTTCATAAATGTATTGATCATGTTTAGGTAAAGTAAAAAAATCATATCAAATCATTCAATTATTTAAGTATTAGAAAGAACTATGTTTTTTAAAATTCACACAAGTTTTTACTAGCTGTACATTGTAAAACTTTTGTTTGTTTTATTCACTATGTTTCGTCAGTTTTACTATGTACAACTGAAAAATGTTTGAACATTCAATTAATTATTCTTTTTGTCTTTATAATTGCTTTTTTATAATTTGTTTTATGTTTTATGACAAAGTAAATACACTAATACAGTATCATAAAGGCTAAGGAACAAAATGAGATATTTAAATTAAATATTATTCAGAAGCAAGCTATGTAAAAAATAAACCACAAATAAATTTAAATTTAAAATAATTTTAGGAAAAGGTCTTTAAAGGAAAAAGAAAGTGGACATCCAAAATGTGATTTGAAGCGTCAAAAGCAAGACAGTAAATCTAGTGTTGAATCGGATTCAGTCACACACCATGAAGAATCTTTGTTTAATACATTGTCAGATGAATATATGGCAACATCAACTGTGCAGCATCCATCTACCTCCATGAAACGACCTGTAACTCTAGATGTTAATGCAACACAGTCTGTTTCAACCTTGAAAAGACAAAAGAACAATGCTATCTTTAGCTCTTATAGTTCTAGTAGGAGCATAACTCGACAGAAGATTGTAAGTAAACATATTCATCATATAACTTTTTTTATTGCCAGCATGAGTACCTTGTGTAACTACAATTTTTTCAATATAACTTTTATACTGACATGGGTGCACTTTAGTTCAGTGCCTTATAGTAATTAAAGGTTGATCATAATGTTATTTTTTCAATGTATCACAGATATCTTAAAACAATTAAGAAAAGCGTATGTAAATAATATTGGATATACATGTCTGTGTGATATCTTGGTAATGAAATGGTTAAACTGTAGGGTGTGCTTCATTTTTTGCTTGAATAATATTATTGTTGTGCTCATGAAATGAAAATAATTTTCAGATAGTAATTTCTGAAATTTTCATTAAGATACACTAAAATAACCAATTTAGTCATAGTTTTGTATACTTATATAAAAAAACCATTAGAAAGTATATTTCACCAACTATTCAACAGTAGAAATTTTTTTCTATCTGATACAGTACTTACTTCCTCTCACAGAAATAACTATTCTTTTTTCAGTGCTGCCCTCTATGTATAAAAACATATTTATGCATGTCACAAGCCTTCTATTTCTCCTCCATTGGAGAATGCATCTCTCATGCAAATCATCATGTATCAACCCTCCACCAATAAACAATAAGAGAACAGTATACTCTCATGATGTATGTAACTCCCTCTATTAAATTCTACCAAACTATCACTTCTTGTTTGGCAGTACTCCAATTCAGATATTTTTTCTTTTGGTGCTCTTCACGTGAATCATGATTTTAATTGATTAATTTCTGAAGTGGGATTTTTTCATTATTATTTTTTTTTTTCCTGACGTTGAAGAAATCTTTTATTTTAACTTAATTTCCCAGTCTTAATTTTTTTGTCTCACACTTGCATATTTTACATCAAACACTTGTATGATTCATATATTTCTACAATGCATTCTGAGGTCCATGTTTCCACTCAGGTGTTATACCTCTAGCACTATTTTCACAGGCTGCAGGTGGAGGAGGTTCATTGTTGGATTTTTCTGGTATTATCCATCATGAGATTGATCGTTATATGGTTCATTCTTTTTCTCCTGAACTTGCCCCACTAATCCTTCTGAACAAGCCAAACCTATTTAGGCCAATGAAGATTTGATAGCCTTTTTACACCACCTGATTTCGCTGTAATTTTCCCTACCTCTCTCTTGTAGAATCTGCTAGGCCTAATAGGGCATTTTTCGACATGATTTTTCAGGTATGTTATGTTTTATTCAATTCCCCATTTTGTATGATTCCTTATTACTTCCATGTTGGCTCATTTGTTGTCTTTGGCTTCCCTTTACACTCGTGGTTTCATTGTAATTGGGATTTTCTGAGTTTTAATGCAACCTTGTCCTAGGTACGTTTGCTGCCTCTTTCTTTTTGGGATTTTAGTATTTTTTATTTTGTAATATGTTTTTGATCATATATCTGAGACTTTGGAATCTTGTGTGTAATCTGTGTGTGTTAACACTTGACTCTTTCCTCTTTGGTTAGAGCCATGATATGCCCTATTCCTTTCCCGTCCTGGTCCTTATCTACCCATCTCTGTATTCCTTCCAGGGGTTTCTCATCTCGTCATTTTATTCAATGTTGATGGGCATATTGCCAAGAGTACCAAAGACTAACCAGAGGGTTCCAGTCCAGTGGGAGCTTGACTTATTTATATTGTTGCCCTTTGGCAATTTTTCACTACAGTTCCATGTTTTTTTGGGTTTTATTAGAGGGACTTGTCCTACTATTTCTTTCCCCACCTCCTTTATCCCTGGTACCCTTTTCCTTCCCCATGACTTGGGATCCTGCCTCCAGCCTGCATCTGTCTGAGGCAGTACAAGATTTTTTATCTCTACTGGCCGTTGCACCTGTTCACAATTTTTCTCCAGGCTTTTATTTCTGTCTGCTTTTTGTTCTTGCACCAAACCAGAGACTGGTGACCTGTATCACATTTGTCCCACCTCATTCTAATTTTAAGTCTGCCTGTTTTTACTGTGGAGTTGTTTCTCAACTTTAGGTGAGCTTTTTCTCCAGAGGAATGTTGTGAATGCTTATTTGCATATCCTAGTATTTCATCACTCGAGACCTTCTCTTTGGTTTATTCTCCATGGGGTGGTTTCTCTGTTTTGTGCATTGCCCTTCAGACATGATTCAGCCCTGTATATTTTGTTGGTCTTTCAGAGCATTCGTTTGTCACTTATATGCTCTCGGGTTGCACTTTCCTCTTTCTTTGGTTGACTGGCTCACTTGTTCTGAACATGAGTCTGTCTGTTATGCTTATCAGCTGTTCTTGGAGGTAGCAATAATGGGCTGTTCATCAAGTTGGAGAAGTACTTATTGTGACTTATCCAATATCTTGTCCATGGGTGATTTCTTTCATCCTTAACACCCTGTGTCCAGTCCTTCTGATAGCTCTTTCCTGGCCATCCTGCCTGTGGTTTCTATAGCTTCTCCAGCTCCAATTTCCTCCTTCGTTATGTTTTTCTCAGTCTTCATTCTTTTTTCCCCTCCCTCAGTCTCCGGTGTTTCATCCAGACCTTCCTGTCCTCTGTCTTCATGCCTGGTTTTCCTCTGGTTATTGGGGAGGTAATCTGGCTTCTCCTGACGGTTAGCCTATTTTCTGGTCTGTTTCATTCACCCTTCCTACATGAAAGTTTCTCAATGCAAATGGAGTTTTCCATCATTGGTTTCTGGGTCCAGGGTTTTTCCCTGATCAACTCACTGCTCTTCATCATGTGGATTTCCTTTCTTGACTTTTGGATCGTGGATATTCTGTCTCATAGGTCTTGGATTTTATGGACAGTCCTGTCCCACACCTTTTGTCTTCCCGATCCTGCATGTATTTGTTGTCTTTTTTGGCTGTGGATCTGTTGCTTCTGTATTTGGTGGGCTGCCCTTCTGGATGGGGATATTAATGTGGTCCTACACTGCCTCACTTTGCCTACATTTGAACCACTCTCCCAGTGCTCCTTATTTCTTCTTCCCTTATATTTTCCTTCCTTCTTCTGTTTGCTTGTGGATGTCAGTGGTCTGTTTATTTACTAGCAATGTTTCATGTATTCTTTATCCTTCTACATATCTTCTCCATTCTCTGGATTATTTTTTCTCCCTAATACTTTGGTGGTTCGTGAGGATAACTCCTGCGTTTATCCACTTTCCCTTCATTCTGTTTCACACCTTTATCCTCATCCTGGTCTGGATAAACTTCTATGTCCTGTACTTGCTCTTCTCTGTTACATCGCCTGCATGACTTTTTTCTGTGGTGTCCATTCCTGTCTCTTTCTTCCTTAGCAACCATCCTCTTTTTGTGTTCTTCCCCTTTCTCCTTTGCCAATTGGGTTCAGCTCTTCATTCAATTGGCTTCTTCCTCTTTATCATCGTCCTCCCATACTTTGTTCCGATTGTCTTCTCACCCAATTCAACACCTTACCTTTTCATTGGTATTTCTTCAGTCGGGCATGTGGACTACCCGTGATACATTCATCTCTTTCTATTTGCATCAGATTGCAGTTTTCTTCCTCTTCGGGTTATCGTATTTCACCTGTAGCCATTTTAGAATATCAGAATTCAGTTTGACTTTGACTGGGTAATTTCTTTTTTCTTATTTTTCAAATATGTACTGTGAAACCATGTTGACTTTCACATTATAATTCCATGGCCATGCAATGCACACTGCAGAGATGGGGTGTTCCACAAGATCGCTTGTAAGTTTATCCTCATGATAGAATTGCTATATAAATTTGCCCGTTTTGAACCGTAGCCACCCATGGACTACATGGGTAAAGCAGAAGGGGATAGTTGCTTGTCCCTGCCATACCTTGCATTGAATAAATCAGTATGGTCTGCTTTTTGAAATAGGATTTCATGGTCACCCATTGAGTCTCTTTACCATTTTCCAGTTCTAGGGTGGTGGACCGTGGAGGCATCCTCATGATTGGGTTAATGAACTACAAACAAAATATAGAAATGATTGGACAACCATTCAGTTGAGATTAGGGTGGTGGTGTTCTGCTGGTGTAGATGACATGATATCCTCAAATATGAAACGCAAAAACAAATGGGAGTGCAACATCAAAATTGCAGTTCACCCCTTCAATTGGGATCCCTCTTCCTACTCCCACATGGATGTTGATTCCCAGTGGCCCGGGTTAGAATAGAACCAATCACCATAAGTCCTCAACATGTATTACAGTTGTCTATATTTCTCCCTCATTTATACTCCATCAGTTTTGTGGATCATGTAGGAGGTAATTACAGATTGTTATGGTTGTTTCCCTTCCCTTATCCCTCAATATTTTTTATTCCAAGGAAGTTAATGTACTTGGAGTGGTTCTGGTCAATTTCACTTTTGAGGTATATGGTTCACATTTTGTAGACATCTTTTTGATACCAGATGTCAGGTTCCTGGATCGATCTATCAGTTTATCATATTCACATGTGCCCCGTTCATGGTTCGGGGAGTACTAGGTTCCCTCTCGGTGAAGATGGTATAATCCTCTTTCCTACCCCCACATGGATGTCGGTTCCTGTTGGCATTGGATTTGGATTGTAGTTGTCTTACCGATGGTACAATCCTCGTCCTACCTCCACATGGATGTTGGCATTGGTTTTGGATTTAGTTAAGCTGCGTGTATGGTCTGTCGTGCCCTAACCACTCTACACCTTTTCATTTTTCCCACTTTTATAATTTCTGGGATTGAGTTTCATAAATATTCCATGGTTCGGATCACTTTCCGGCCATAGTTCTCTCCCATTTGGATGTGCTTCACTGTTTTCTGCTCTTATATGCAACATCTTTCTACAATGGGCAAAGAGCATACCTGGTTCAGAAGTGGTGCAGTTCCCCACATCAGATCTTAGAATCTGTCTCATCTTAGGGAGTGTCGTTTGGACGCTTTTGTAGGATGCTTCTTTCTTTCCTTTGCGTCAGTCCTTCCACCTATTCAATATGGGGTTCTAGCTATTTATGTGAGTGGAAATAATGTACTGTATTGAAAGTTATAATTTTCCTAAACTGAAAATGTATTTCCAATCAGTACTTACCTCCGTTCACACTTCTCACCCTTTCTCCCCACTGAAAACTGTTGCTTCCATCTTCTACCAAAACTCGAAGTGATAGTTTGGTAGAATTAAATAGAGGGAGTCACATGCTTCAGGAGAGTATGTTGCACTCTTATTGGTGGAGGTTTAACACATGATGATTTGTATGAGAGATGCATTGGAATTAGTCAATTCCAATGGAGGAGAAATAGAAGGCTTGTGACATGTGTAAACATTTGTTTTGCACATAGAGAGCAGCACTAAATGAAAATGCTATTTATTTGGGTAGAGGTAAGTACCTATCAGAAATACGTTTTCAGTGTAGGAAAATTATAACTTTGGTTTTAACCAAATGCTGCTGATTTTATCTTGGTTCTGTTCCAGCAGATGTCAGTTTTAATTTTAGGTTTATTTGTATATTACTAGCTTTAATATATAAATGTATCATTTAGTGTCAGTTGCAATATCACACTATTACAAAGGCTTTTTTATCCAAGAGATTGTATTAGAGGCTGATTATTTTGAAATTGAAAAACTCTAGAAACTGTCTTTTTTAATAATGTACAAAACCGTGAACTGATATTTTCATAATATTACACAATACTTAGGACCCTCTTTTTAAATATTAGACTAAACCAAAGATTGTCATTTTCAAGATTAGTGTTAGAGACTGCTAACTTAAATTTCGGACTACATGTATGCTATGGAATGACTCCTTGGTTTGCATATAATAACCAATTACAATCTTTAGTCCATGATTCATTGTAAGGTTAAAACTTTAAACCTAGGCTTCATGTATGATAGTTAAAATTGAACTACAGTAGAGACTGCAACTATCAGTCTTATAGTGTCATGGCTGTAATTTTTATTATAGTGTACTTACTAGAAACTGCCTCTTTCAGTCTGGGATTACACCAGGGGCTGCTACACTTCCAGTTGTAAAGTAGAAAAAAAATTACACATCAAAGATGGACATTTTAAATTTTAGACTATGCTACATAATAATAAGACATACATCAAACAAGCCAGGAAATAATTGAGATAAAGGCTTCAGAAGTAAATTTCCAGAGAACAGTATGTCAATCTGAAGTCGATGATGATCAACTTGACATTTAGTTCTAATAGTTTTTATGTAGCTTTGAATTCAGATGTATTTCATTTTTAGAAAACAATATTCTTTTTCTAATAATTGTAACTATCAAGCGCATAGCTATGCATAAATTTGAGTTATGCTCATAGAAGGGTGTGGGAGGGAGCTCTCCCCCTTTTGCTGATGGGGGGTCTGGAGGAGGAGGGCTTACCTAGAAAAGTTTTGAAATTTAAACCTGAAATTGTGGATTCTGGTGACCTTGTGTATGTACTCTACAAATTATTAGCCATACAACCTGCATAAAATATTGTCAAAACTTACTTTTCTATCACTGCAATTTCTTGTTCTAAATGTTGTTGGGAGAAAACTGTTGATTATAAGATAATTGTAGTGGAAAGGTCTTTGCATTAATCAGTTCTTTTTTTTTATAAAACAAAAACTGGCATAGAAAATTAAATGCAATTTATTAATATAATGACAACATGAAGGTACTTTTTTTTATAAACTCAGTGTCAGATAACAAAGTGTTTTAAATTTATTTGTGTATTACTATATTATTATTTTACATGTATAATACATGTCTGATTTAAATGTGAAAATGTTATTCTGTGTGTATACCATCATGTTTTAGTCCAATGTAGACAAATTTGTCATATAGAAGGGTTTATAACTTATATGTTAAAGAAAATTTGTATCTTGAATTTTTAGTGATAGTCATGTGTGTACATGCATACGCCTTGTGTCCCTGATTATAAATGTAGCTATGATCAGATATTATAGGCTTCTGACATCTAAGTGCAGAAATCATCAACATTATCAGATTTGAAGTGAAAACCATAAATAAGAATTACAGCATATTCACTTGCCTCTCTGTCCAGACATGGTTATGTAATAATTTATTGAACAAGTTTCGAACGTAATATTTATTATTAAATACAGAGTATTACGAAAAATACAAATATGTAGTTCCATTTATATGAATTTAGTAATCAATTGATATTACCCTTATCAAAGATAGTCTTCCCTTGGTATTTTACTTCACTGACTTCCCATGTTTATTTGAATGGAACCAACTTAATGAGAATTGGTGTTTTGACAACAACATGATCGAGTGAAAGTGACAGTGGCCATGATCTCCGCAGCTACAAAATTTAGAAAGATTCTTGATTTTCTGTCATTCTTTGGCTACACCAGAGATTAACACTAACAAAGATTTCACTGACCATTGTGAAATCCAGACACATATTTACTAGAATACCTGGACTACAACAGAACCTATTTTATGATCTTAGTAATGTCACATATGAACTACACCAGAGACTGCCATTTTCATTGTCAGAATACAAGAAATTTCTAGTTTGGAACTTGAATTGTTAACTATCAAAATTCTGATGAAAGAAAGAAATAATATTGGTTCTGTTCTATTATAATTCTTGCCATTCTTAAGAACACCAATTTAACAACAGTGTTTTCAAGTGGGAAATATTAAAAATCTTTTTAAGCTTTCTAAACAGAAAATATCTTTTGATATTTTCTCTTGTAAGCTTTCTTTCTGAGAAAATAGTGATAAAGTAAGAGTGAATTAACATTTCTAGAATAAAAAAATACTGTTTTTTTTAAGTAAAGAAACTTGTCTTTCAGTATAGTATTATAATGTTATTGAAAGAAATTAAGTACCTATTAACTTTTAAAGATGTGCATTATTTTGTCAGCAGTGACAGAATTTAGGACTTATTCTAAAAAGAAGTTTGTGATAATCTGAAGTAAAATTCATGTTTTAACCATTCTAGAATGAAACCTCAGAATCTTCAGTGGAGGGAAAACTCCAGGAAGTATCTAGAATGAGCTTTACACAACAGAAAATAAGGTAGAAAAGCCAAGATATTTCTTACATGTAAATGTATTTTTAAAGTGTGAGTGGTTTTCTCACCTTAACTCTGGACTCTTGCTATTGCGTGCAAGTGAAATAATCCTATATACTTTTTGCTATGCTGTGTTTAGCTTATATAATGACTGATGGTATTGATTGAGAGACCTCTATGGCCACTGACTTATGACAGAAAAATATATGTAAAATGATGTAACAAGTTGGTTTTACATTTTTATTAGACTGACTAAAACTATTGATATATAAAACAAGCAGTCAGGCATGACATTTCATGTGTTATCTTTAATGTGATTTGGAGGAAATTAGTTGAGGTAATTATTTTAATGAAATTTAACAGATTTAAAGTTATGTAAATAATAATAAATATTAACTTTGGTGATTTAATGCTTTCTGAAGTCATATGGGAGGTAAAATTTCTCATCTGAACTTATATCTTAGGCAATACAAATATTAAAACTACTGAATACCAAACATAAATGTTTGGCTGAATAACTTGTTTCTTGAGTGAAATAGACTATTAATAAAAGCCATTTTATTATTTTAAAGAGACATATAGTTCACTTACATTTTATTGTTAAGTCAACTTAATCTGATGATGACTGAGTTGAAGAAGGGCTTTTATGCTTAATGTGGTTTCCTTGGTTGGTAATCTGTGTTTGGTGATGATTTACTTCAGTTACTATATCTGATTTGTTTTGGTGTGTGTAGGATTTCAATACATCTTCAATCAGTCTGATTTTATTACTTGTACAATTTCAGTAGTAGGCTTTGCAGTAACAGAAGAATTATTTTTATGCACTCAGGATCTTTGTGCTTTTTTGTTTATGCTCTTAAGTCTTACTTTGCAAGAAAGATTTATAGTTGAAAGCCAATGAAACAAGTTTTTATATTTCCCTCTTTTCTTTTCCCCCTTTTTTACTCATATTTTCATTGTAGTTTGTGACATAGTCTTTTTTTTTTTAATTAGCTTTGTGTTCTGTGTGTATATTATGACCAGTTTTTATAGGGTTTATTTCTGTTCACAGCTTGGCATTGTGTAAGCACTTTTAATTGGTGTATCTTATGATTGGTACACCTGTTTATCCCTATGGATATGGAGTGTCGAAGTGTGCATGTCATGATCATTTTACATAGTTACATTCAAAAATTAATTAAGCTATTTTCTATAAACTTTGCACCAAAATCTAGTTTATAATTCTAATTTTATACAAGTTTTAATTTCTTAATTTTCATCAGAAATATTTAAATAAATTCTCAATTTGCACCTCAGAGTAACGTGATGCGTTTGTATAATAGGAGCTTCAGATTGTTCAATGAATTAAAACACATACTATAAATATCTAGAAGTCAAAATATACAATTTCAACCTCTTCACCTCTTCTTGTTTACTGAAATATCACTGTATTTGTTCAACCCATGTGACACATTCCTCTTATCATCCTCCTTTAAAAAAAATTATATAATTTTCTCTGACATTGCTATTGGACATGTTTACAAACAACGGAAAGAGCCTATTCTAAGTTACATAAATCAGGTGATTTTCTGTTTTGTTTTACTTGTCAAAGCCTGATGTATTTAAATTAAAGACATTGTCCCAAGCAGTAATGAAACCTTTTTTAACATATTTATAGATAAGTTGGAAAGCCAGTTAAATTATAGTAGTTTTGGGGCATTCTGTTCTAGTGCCTGTTATATTTTTTTATGTTCTAAAATGCCTATTTAAAAGCTACAGGAATTATTTTTGGACAGTAAACATAGTGAGAATATATTAGGCTTACTAAATTAAGCACTTAAGTGCAAAAAGCCTCAAGGCTAAATATAGTAAGCACTAAATTTCTAGTTTTGTCTGTATTTTTTATTTATTGTTCTATATATATTTTAACAACAATAACTAAAATGTAGAAATTAGAACTTATTAGTTTAGATAAGAGAACTTAACTGGAAAAAAAAATCAATAAAAACAATTCTTGTGATATCTCTTGGAGGAACATATGTGGGCTGCCATCTCAGTTTATTCTCCATAAGCTCTTGCTGATTGACTTATAGCTTTACCATGCTAATTAGACATGGTTAAAAAAACAATAAAACAAAATTGTGAAATGGTTAAGAGGCTTGAAGTTCTTAGGATAAATAATTGTGATTCTCTGTTATAATCTGCAATGATTCTAGAAGAAAGTTATTTTGATTTTATTTCATATTTTTCAACTTTTCATTCACTGTACATGGATGATTTTGCTACAGTTAGTGTTAGGGTAAAGAAAATAAGAGATCAAATGTAAAGTTTTACTGAAAATTTTTAGTCATTTAGGAGGCTCTAGAGGTTATGCAAATGAAATATGAAACTGCAGGATGAAGAGAAGTATTTTTTCTTAGAATGAAAATCACCTTTGATTCAGGCTAACTTGGTGAAGGCTCTGTTGATTCACAGACAAGTCTTTAATGAGCCTCTTGAAATTTAATGAATCTTAGATCTTGTTCACAACACATAAAAAATGCATAAAGAAACTTGCCCACTCTAACTGTACTTTAATGACAGGAAAAATTTAAGGCTGTTGTATTAACTAACTCAGACAAGTTATAATAGTAAAAATAAAGAGTGTATAGAAACAGAAACACATTGATATTAACACTTATGTAAATTAAATGATAGATAAACCTTGGAACATTTTTTTGTCATTTGTTTTTATCTTAGTAACTACTAATGTTTATAAAATATTGTATATAGTGAGATGGCTGGAATAGAAACAAGACAAGACAGTTCTCCAAGTTTCCCTAAGGTTCAGAATGAAGATGAAGTAGAGGGATTAAAAAAGGTATGTCACTTCTCTGGACTTGAATCTAAGTTTGTATAAGCAAAACATGCTTTATAATTATGTTAGAAACTCTTTTTTTTTTGGTATTGAGTATAAATTAATTAGTTCTTAATGCTAGATGAAACTGCAGAAGCAGTTTCAGATAAGAATAATGGTTTTATCATCCCCAATCCAGCTTGCTCACCTGCTTGTTGGGTGTTTGTTGCAAGAATTATATTTGATGGTAGATATTTCCCTTTGTTCTTCAGATTGTAATTCATAAAACAACAAAATCCTTTCAATTTGTTTTGTTCTAGTTGTACTTTTTTCTATGCTTCCACTATATTTATTGCAAATATTTAAAATTTTGCTTGTGAGCAAGTTACAGTAAAACTTGAATTTCAGTACTGTATGTTGGACATGACAATTTTATTATCCATTGCCCAGGTAAGATAAAATACATGATTTGATATTCAGTTGGAAGAATGTGCTGGTTATTCCCTGCATGTCTTTCTTGACAGTTGGTGAAGTAACAGTAATTTATGTGTGAGTACAGACTTGTTTGTCCCAAATGACATGCACTCACATACTTACTCGACTTACGTTGCACATTTTTACTGCCAAACTTTATACTCTTAGGGAAATTCTTTTCACCTTCACTTTCTGTTTTGTCTCCCTATTTACTTTGAAAGTGTGAAAAGTTCTCATTACATAGTGTTTCATCTGTCTTTTATCATTTGGAACTTTGATAGCCAAATCTTGATTTTGGTAACAAAAATATAAAATTAAATCACTAAAATGCAAAGGTGAAAAAAAGCTATCTTCTGGCAAAATACAAACATTAAGCACTTATCAGACTGCATTATATGTGTTGTTTTAAGACCAATTGTTTCGTGCATGCTGAAGCTTGGCTTAATTTTCTGTTTACAGTGTTATTTTAATAAATATTCACGAAATCATTGTGTTTGTTGCATATATGTTAACGATTTAATAAAGAAATTATAATAAAAGAATTTTCTAAGGGAAAATATAACTTAAACATATGTGGTATTCAAGAATGTTTGTTGATGGGTTATAGGTAGGCCTGGTTACTCTTATAGGTGAGGCTTAGCAGTAGCTTTTTATGAGGGATTACATGTTCAGTTATTGGTATTTGGTCTGTAAGGTATGTATTGTTAATATATTTCATCTCAGACATAAAAATATTTTAAAGAGCAGTTACTTTTTTAGCATGAAAATAAATTAAAATGCAAGCCAGGTACTGAAAACACTCAGATAATTAATTAGTTTTTCTTTGAGATCATGTAATTGTTAACCCTTTCGTGACAGGTGCATCCTTAAATGCTCCTCTGTGCAATTCACTGTGTTACATTCAAAATATTATTAAACACTCGTAATATCAATGTATATGAATGAAATTAACATTGTAATGTATGTTACGATATGAATTTTTATGTTATCTAAGTTTTAATTCCTTTATTTAAATAGAAATATTTAAAACTACTTAACACTTCAGATGTATTGTCACATGACCACTGAGCTATGAAAATTCTCTATTTTGGCACTTTGTATCTTCAATAATATAATGGCAGTTGTGTAGATGTACATGTATACTATAAGATGCTTACATAGCCTTTTGACTCTTACATTTAAAAGTTCTCTGGATGAATACTGTAATAAGTAATAATAGTTTCACCCCTGCCAAGTGCCACGCCCACTTTTAATAGATTTGTTTCAGCTTTATAGCCTACATGTGGATTTTTTACATACACATGTGTATAGTCATTAAAAAGAGCTCATTTTACACTATAATCTAACAGAGGTTATTTTGAAATTGGCATGCAGTTGTCATCATGGAGTACATATAACTGACTGTAGTATTTTTGGCTGTTTGATCGACTATAGCACTAAGTCACTAAAAACCTTGTGACATGCACAGTAATGGATGCTCATTGCAGAAGGGTTAATGTAAGCTTTGCAGAGTGAGGGGTAGCTTTGGTTATTTTATAAAAATTATTCAACCTTTTAAATATGAATTATAAAACACAAATAATGCATAATTAACTAAAATATATAAGTAAAACCTAAATACAATTGAACTGCCTCTCAATTATAACATATTTAGGTAAGAAACAACAGAAGTGATATCATGAACAAAGCAGCCAACAATAATACAAACAGTTACATCTACCCAAGAATGACAACTTAGTGGCAATTTCAAAATAACCATTGTTGGATTATAGTGTAAAATGAGCTCTTTCTAATGATTATAAGCACGTGTTGAAAATACATGCAACTTATAAAGCTCAAAGTTAACTGTAGAAGGTGGGCATGGCACTTATCAAGGGTTGACAAAATTTATTTCTTGTTTCAACTGCATTCAGCCAAAGGACTTTGAAGTGTATATGTAAAAGGAGCAAGTAAACCCCATTCTTGTCTAGACTTACATGTACATGACTACCCCCTTATGCTTCAAGCTATACCTCACCAAATTTTGACATTGTTTATAACTTGTGTGTCACGTGACACAAAACTGAAAGATTTTAAAATTGCTTTCATTGTTTCTTTTGAAATAAAGATATAAAACTAAGATAATGTAAAACTTTGAACTATAACATTTGACAATAATAGTTTCATAAAATACATTGATGGTAAAGTGGTTTAATTATATTTTGAATGTAACTTGGTGAAATGTGCAGAAAGGAGTTTAAAAAGCTCTTTAACCCTCTCGCCCCAGGTATCCTTTACTACACAAACACAAGGTTTTAGTGTCTTACATTCAAGATTTTATTAAACTAATTTTTGTTTATGTTATACCAATTATAATAGCATAAACTCTTAGCTAATAATCCATATTTTAATAGTATACAAGTTTTAAGTTCTTAATTCTACAAGGCAATATTTAAAAAATTTTGAATTTCCACTAGTGTGACCCACGTAACACATTTTGTCTTAGCATGTCATCATCCCTATTTTATCCACCACCCCTCGAAAAATAAGGAAATTAAACTTAAATTACTCTCTATAAAATTGTTATTGCTTAGACAAACCATACTTTTTATAGTCTTCAATTTTGTTTGGTTACAGAGCTATTGAATAAAAAATCAGACCCATCCTGCCACACCCACCTGTCACATCTTCTCTTTCACAATTTGTTGATAGTTCTCTCATATGTTTCATTATATATTACCTATAACCTAAACAAGACCAAAAATATAGCAGTCCTGATGCCTTAGCCACCACATTTTGGATCTTGATTTGGGTCCATAGCCCTATAATTTCAATGACAGGATGTGGGACTTTGTCTGCCTGGTTGGGGCCTGGACAAATTGATGTTCTTCTAAGATGTTAGGATTTTGCCTCTGTGGCCAGTTGGCCTTTACCACCCAGGAATTATATTTTATGTTCTCTGTGCAAAGAGTGTACCTGTTCCAGAAGTATTGCAGACCACACTGATGTGATATTACTATATCTTATTTTTGCACTCTTCTTTTCGACGTAGATGCTTTCACTATGGACCTTGCCCTCACCGGCCCCTCCACCTTATCAATGTGGGATTTTAGCTAAAGTGTGAATGGAGGTGTGTTTCGGAAGTTAACATTTTCCGTATAGGAAAATGTATTTCCAATAATTCTTACCTTCTCTTACACTCTTCTGCCCTTCCTCCCCGCGAGATGGCCAGTTTTGGACTGTCTTAAAAAGTGAATAGGAAGTAATAACGGGGAGCTTATCTACAAATCTGGGATAGGGGGGCCCATTGACATAGGTGGAGAGAATTGCCAATTTAACTTGCTTTGGACAATATAATGGGGTATAAAGCCTGGAGCAAGCTAGTAAGATTCATATCAATGATTAGATGGACAGAAAAGAGAAACTTTTATCAGAATAAAGCTAAAGTGTGAGAGGAGGTGATCAATATTAGAAATAAATAAAGAGCCCAAAAGATAAGAAATAATTTGAGGTTTTTGAAAGTATGAAACAAACTTTGGGTTTAGGGAGAAGGAGCAAAAATTGGAAAGGAGAAAAAGAAAAGCAAGAAAAAGGTAAATAGAAAAATAAATTGTATATTCAATTGACTATTGGGTTTTGGCACTGAGGCAATGACTTTATGGCACTGTTGTCAACCAGTGAAAGATTAGGTTTAATTTTTAGGAATTTTGATTGAGGGTATAGGAAATACCTGAGGTTCTTTGGAAGAATATCTGAGTGTTTATGATCTTTTTAGAATGAATTCTTAACATTAGAAAAATCTTAAATAAAATGAAATTAAGTACCAATTTTATGTGGATCTCAAAATTATAAAGGTAGGTGGTAAAAATTGATAAATGAATAGTAAAAGAGAGAGAATTGAAGTTTTACTTTCCTGATTTTTCCTACAAAGAGTTGTTACAAGGTTAGTATAATGAAAGTTAATGGTGGATGTGCTTGTAAAGGCTCAAGTAGTGGGTGGTACCTGTTTCCTTAAGTGTGATAAACTCAGGATTTATCACAGAATTAGACGTATATACTTTCTAATGGTAGTATGAATGTTTCTTTCTTCAATATAAAAAAGGATATGCATAAAACAAAAGTGTTAAATAATGTTGAAATGGTAAGTACAAATTACATGGATGTATTTGAAAAAATGCTATACTCATTATTATATAACATATATATCATTTTATGTATTTTTTGCCTTGTATTTGAAGAGGATACAAGAGGAAAGAGCCAGCATATCTCTCATCTGTAGCAGGAATGAGGAACAAGCTGCAAAGTATAAACCCTTGGGTTACCTTAAAGCATCATCTGCTGTTCAGGTATTAAATTGTATTGAGTAAAGACTAACTAGAACTACACTCTGTACAGACAAAAATGTAGTTGCCTAGTATTCCATTACAAGTTAAAATATATTGATTTTAAATCACATTTCTGTTTGAGAAATATATTCCAACAAACTGTTTTGTATACTGGTAAAATATCAAAAGTCATTACACCATTTTCATTGGTGAATTGTAAAAAGTTTTTACATATAGTAAAACAATTTTTTTAACACTATAAATCACACACATATATATATATATTCATGGCAGTGATTTCATCCACAGTATTACAAAACTGAAAATCATACAATTTACTATGGCATATGTGATACAGATGTAAAATCTACGGATGGCGTTACCAGTCTACATAGATTACTGTTAATGATTTATTGAAAATAATGATTTAATTCAGAATGTAGAGAAATGTAAAATCATTGGGCAGATTAGCCATGCTACATATATCAAAACAACCTTATGGCAGTCAGAAATTTATAATGCCTAGAAAAAAAAGATCACACAGTTAAAAATAGGGTAGTCGTATTTGAGCCATTTTGCACATACACGGTTGTTTCATCTCATATCAGTAAAACTTTGCATTAAAAAATAACTATTCAAATCTCAATTAAAAATAATCACATAGATTATAAAGTGTGATAAATAATTGGACATTTTAATTTGTAAGTCAGCAATTGAGCCATACAATGTTTGTATATCAGGCTTATGATGGATTAGTGACAGTAGATACTTAACAATTTGAAAGATGAAATAATAACAATAACATTTTTGTGAAATTCAATAGTTAAATATAGAGGTAGATTTTATACATGCATGCTTTTCAAGTGAGCAGAACCATACTAGCTTAAGGATAGTACTTATGGAACTTATAGTAGCCCAAACTCAAAATTTAGTCCTGGGCATCAGATTAGTAGAATTCTACACCCCTGCAGTATTGTTTGATTTGTAAAGTACTAATGATGCAGACAAATATGCGGATATATTGTAACATTTTCAGTAAAATTGAATTCAAAAATATGAAGCTAAAAATGTCCTGACAGTCACATTATCTTTTTTTCAGCTAAAATGGTCTTAACTCATAGAAATAATATGATGACACATTTCATTTTGACTAAAATAATTCAATTTGTAATATGTTTATTAGGCAAAACATTATACATTATTTAACTCTCGGCTCCTGGGACCAACCTCATAACCATTTTGTTGTAATAGTTTTCATGCTATAACTTTTAAATTATTAAGCGATTGTTAACGAAATTTGGCAGATTATCAGTAAACATTACAATTCTTTCATATACATATCAAATTTTTTTTTATTAAGATTTAATGTTTGTAAAGGAATGTTTTTCTTGTGTTTTTTTTCCTTTTCACATGGTGCCTATCTATCATGCAAAGTAATATTCATTTTAAGATTAATAATACTTTTATGCATCAGAAAATTTCACATTATAATGTCCAGATAGTTATCAAACATTTCTTAAGAAAAAACTTTATATTTTATCTGTTATTTTCAGTAATTAATCTCTGTATGGGTTCAGTAGATTTGACCAATCTCGCAACCACCATAAAAAATTAGGAAATAAATATAAATTATGCTTCTTTCATTTTAGAATGAACACAAATTATAATATGAAAACATAAATGTTTAGACTAAATAGCTTTCATCTCGTAACATTATACATTTATATATATTTATTATTTTTATTATATTGACCTTTCAGCCGTGCCTGGCTATCAATACAGAAGTTACAATGATGCGGCACACGTGCACTCATGGTACCATATCCAATAGCATAAAACTAACCTTTGGTCTATACAAAATATTTTTCTTGACTGTGTTTTAGTAGACTAGTATTTTGTAAAATACATTCACATTAAAGTGTGGCCTGTAACATACACTGCCCATATTGACATAGACAAAATTAATTTTGTTGATATTTTAGTACTTGGTATTGTATTGTTTATTATGCGGAGATAATGTATTAAGGCAATGATTATGTGATATATCATGAAACAGGTTGCTTCAATGCCAGAACATCTTTCTACATTAGAAGAGCATGAACGAGATTCAGAAATGGAAGAAAAAAGATTGCAAAAACTTTTGCAAGATGTTCAGGATGTTTTTAAAGAAAAATGTAATTATTTGTGTTTTATCTGTTGTTTTAAATTTAAAAAAAAGCATGTGACTGATACATACAGTCATTAGTTAACTCTCAGTGTGGGTTCGGTTGATTTGACTGACCACGTAACTTTTTGTACTTGTATCAAGTCTTTATAGATTTGATACTAATAACTTTTAATATAGTATGTATATCTTCACAAAATCTGGCAATCTTTCAATAAACACTATAAGCCTTTCACATACAAAAAATTATATTTTTTGTGAAGTATTTTAAATAAACTAAAAAAAAAAGATTTGTCCATGAATATATCGAATATTTGTTTTGAATAGTCCGTGTGCAAAGTGATTTTCATGTGAAGGTTAAAAATACTTTTCTTCATCTCAAAAATATCAAATTTCATTTGTGTAATCTCTAAAACCTCCTAAATACATTTCAAATGTATGTTTTCAGTAAAACTTTATATTTTATATGTTATTTTCTCTACCCTAACTCTATACAGTGTTGGTCAATTTGACCGACCTTGTAACTACCAAAAAAAAGAAAATCAAAATAAATCTAAATTACACTTTTTCTTTCTAGAATGACTTTAAATTATAACATG